TGTGCTTCCTTCATAGAGTCCTGGAATCATTAAGGTTAGAAAAGACCTGTAAGGACATTAGGTCCAACCGTCAACCTAATATTACCGTGACCACTAAACTGTGTCCCCAGGTGCCCCATCTGCACGGTTTTTGAACCCCTCCAGAGGTGGTAACTCCATCACTGCCCCGGGCAGCCTGTGCCAGTGCCTCACCACTCCTTCAGTAATGGAATTTTTCCTAACGTCCAATCTAAACCTTTCCAGGTGCAACTTGAGCTCATTTCCTCTCGTTGCTAGTTACCTGGGAGAAGAGACCAACTTCCACCTCACTACAACCCCCTTTCAGGTAGTTGTAGAGAGCGATAAGGTCTCCCCTCAGCCCCTGTTGTCCACACCCAGTTCCCTCAGCTGCTCCTCATGACACCCGTTCCCCAGACCTTTCACCAGCTTCGTTGCAGGTACCTGCTGGGAAACATGCCGAAGATAAAGCTGAGTGGCATCACGGTGGATTTCCCATTCCAACCTTATGAGTGCCAGGAAGCCTACATGAGCAAGGTGATAGAGTGTCTGCAGAAGGTGAGTGCTGCCCTGCCTGCAGGCATGTTGCTTTGTTTGCTGTGTTTTCCTTTCAAACTGATAAAGAGCTTTTCTAAAAAGTAAGAAAGCTCTGGGGAGACCTTATTGCAACCTTCTAGTCCTTAAAGGGAACTTATAAGAAGGGTGGGGACAAGCTTTTTAGCAAGGCCTGTTGTGACAGGACAAGGCATAGTGGTTTTAAACTAAAAGAGGGTAGATTCAGACTGAATATGTGTATATGACTTCTTTTCATACATTTGAGCACAAATCATGACAGCAGTGCTTGCTCAGCTGCTAGTTTTTCTGCAACTTGTAGTATTGCTATGCACTTTAAAATTGTAACATCCAGTAGGACAAAGTGTTTTAAAGTGCTTGGAAAAAATTCTGCTGGAGCTATGAAAGAAGATATAGTTTTAATTCTAAAGGAAACTGGAAATCTGTAATTGAAAAGTCACATTCTGTGGGGTTTTTTTTTTCTTGCAGTAATTTCTAATGTTTTCAGGTATTTTATGCTGAAACGTGATGTACTCTAGTTGCTCTAAGAGTGGAAAATTCCTCTGCCTAATTAAAGGGTAATAGCTGGCTCTGGATTTTAGACTGAGCCTCACCAAGTTGAGGGTCCTACAGGTCGTGTGTTTATAACAACTTTATGTGAGGTCTACGTGTGTTTCTGTCATTTAAGAGAGGTTACCAGGTAGTGGTTGTTTTTTTGACTGAGGAAATGCAGTACTGCACGAAGACCTCTGCTCACTGAACCTCCAAATTGCTCATCTGTTCCCTTTTTTTATTTAACTTCTCTCCGCTGCAGAAGGTAAATGGCATTCTGGAGAGCCCTACAGGCACAGGAAAGACCCTGTGCCTGCTGTGTTCCACTCTGGCTTGGCGGGAACACTTCAAAGATGCCATCTCAGCCCGCAAAATCTCGCAGCGGATGAATGGAGTGGAACTCTTTCCAGAGAGACCCATGTCATCCTGGGGCAACGCCGCCACCGATTCCGACATCCCCAGTAAGCGCTGGGATTTTTATGCTCGGCAGGAGTGATAAAGGAATGTTGATGAGTGCTTGCTTTTATCTATCTTTTCTGGCAAGTATGTAATTCTAAAATTACATTGTTTAGCATCCGAAGCACTGTTTCCCACCTTTCAATAGATTTTAAAGGTGTTTTACATATTTCTGTATTCTCTTACAACGTCGGAAACACACTTAGCTCGTTTTGTGTGTGTGAATAGTTAGAGGACAAAATTTCTTGCTGTCTCTACAAGGCAAACTGTTACCATAGTACCAGCTGGGAAGGGAGGCTAATAATATCTCTGGTTCTTCGTTCCATACTAATAATGTTTTCCTGCTTTTTTTTTTTTTCCTTCTCTCCTGTTTGGCAGCTTATTACACTGACGTTCCTAAAATAATTTATGCCTCCAGAACTCACTCACAACTTACACAGGTCATTAATGAATTAAAGAACACAGTCTACAGGTAAATATGATTTAGGATAATGTTTCTATTCATAGAAAAGGTGGAAAAACCTGCCTGATTTAGTTATTGTTTGAATTTATGTGGATGAATGTTTAAAAAAATTATATCCTCTGAAATGTAGTTCTCTTTACATGCATATATAGAACCTTATTTCCTTGCTGTTGTGTTTGAATTTTTTTCATACTTCACAGCTTCTCTTATTTCCTTTGATCATAGAATTTTCTGAATTTGGTCTAGTTTTGGTTCTTTACTTTACACATTTACTTAAAGAATTACCTTTCCTCCCCTTTCTCTTTTTTTCTCCTCCCCTTTCTCTTTTTTTCCTCCCCTTTCTCTTTTTTTTCCTCCCCTTTCTCTTTTTTTTCCTCCCCTTTCTCTTTTTTTTCCTCCCCTTTCCTTTTTTTTCCTCCCCTTTCCTTTTTTTTCCTCCCCTTTCCTTTTTTTTCCTCCCCTTTCCTTTTTTTTCCTCCCCTTTCCTTTTTTTTTTCTCCCCTTTCCTGAGTATTTCTCTAAGGCAATAGGAGAGGCCATTACAAAATTCCTTAGGCTGATAGAAATCTATGAAGAACTTTGTGGTTTTGCTCTGCCAGTGTCTGTCAGGGTTTTCAGCTGCCGATGTGTGCCAGTGTGTTGAGCGAGCTCACTGAACAGGCAGTAATCACGTTTATATGTTTCTTGTAAAGATACAGCCTTGTCATAAGCAAAAAAAAACCTGAAAAAAAAGTATTGTGAACATTTGTAGTGTGTTCCTCCTTGCTGTAACCTTACTCTAAAAGTCCCAGCTGCCTTGGAATAGCTGATATGCCCCAGCTTATTCAACTGAGGAGAACCCAGATTTTGTAGCGCATGATGTCAGCTGCTGCTTGTTACCTCCTGCTCTAAACTCTTGCTTGCTACCACCTGCCACTACCAGGAGAACTGCAGTTCCATAAAGTCAAATAACTTGTGTAGCTGGTACAAAGACTACCTTGCTGTTCTGATTCTGACCCTTATTTTGGGCTCCTCTAGTTTGATGATGCCCAGCCTGGGCACCTACAGCTTCTTTCTTGCCTTTTTTTTAATGTCAGTTTTGTGTATTCTGTTTGGACAGACCGAAGATATGTGTTTTGGGTTCCAGAGAGCAGCTTTGTATCAATCCTGAAGTGAAGCAACAGGAGAGCAACCACATGCAGGTGAGGAGAGAGCCTCGAAGCACCTGCAATGAGAACCTGGGGTGTTTTGCTTTGGTGTGGGGTTTGTGATTCGGAACTCTGACGTTGCTTAACTACCGGAGGTTGCAGGGAGATGTGGCAGTTCTAACTGTGCTTCAAGGAGCTTCTAGTTTCTGGATTTGTTCAGAATTTAGTTCTGAATCATCCAGAAGAGGATGTAGTTGTGTAGAATGTGAGAGGTAGTAGTTTGCAGTTTACTTTCTGATCCACCACTTAAGTGCTTTTCTAAAGCAACAGTAATTTCAAAATAGTGCTTCAGGGATGGATTTACCTCTTATTTTTACAAGTCATATCATTCCAGTGTACTAGTGGCAAAATATGACAAAACTTCCCCTGATCATCTGAGTGTTCTGTGCTGCATAAACTGTTCAAGCGGGCAGAGGGACAGATGTTTTTGAAACTGAAGAGCAGCGATTAACATTTATTCATCAGCTGGTGTTACAGAAAACTAGTAGCTCTTCACCCCTTAACAGGCTTTTCAGTGCTGCTCTCAGCTGAAATATTCTATATTTTCCAGATCTACATGTGCCGAACGAAAGTGATGACTCGTACTTGTCATTTCTATAACAACGTGGAAGGTGAGTTGGCTGTGGAAGCGAAGTCCTGTTTTTTGGAGAAGGAGAGATTTGATGGGCAGGTCGAGAAGGTTGGGAAGAGTTCGCAGAATCTACCTCGGCTCGTGGGCAATCAAAATATCTTTCAGGAAGGGAGCGTTAGGACACGGATGAGCGTGATAATCAGGGTAACAACAAATCTTTGGGCTATGCCTTTATCAAAGCTTGTGGTTGTGATGTTATTTTTTTTCACAGAGAAGAGTACAGAGAAAGAACTGGTTGAATCGATCATGGATATTGAAGACTTGGTTAAAAATGGAAACAAGCACAGGTGAATGATCCCCCCGACCTTCCTCCCCCTTAGTTGTGAAAATAGTGAAAACATTCTCTGCTTATTTTTATCAATACCTTGCTGTGGACTCGACGTACACTAAAGTAGGAAAATGATGATGAGAGCAAAGCGACGTGGCTAAATATGCTGCAGAGACAGCTTCCAACAAAATCACGTGTGCACTAAAGCCTTGACTTCCGTTGCTGCAGTTTTCATCACCCAGCAATTTATTTAAGTCCTTACGCGTGTAAAGACTGAATCAGGTCAGCGTCGGGCTCACCACTATTTTATTTCTCGCATGAGCGGAGGCTGCCAACATCATCCGACGTGATAAATTGTAGTGCAGTTTTGTTTCAGCTCCTGGAGGATGAGGTGACTGATTTGTTGAGATCAAACAGGCTAATGCAGCGTTTACTTCTAGCCTAAAGAGGTGAAATGATAATGCAGTCAGGCA